AAAGCGAGGGAATACGAGGACGTACTCGACCAGAAACTTCGCAAGCTGAGCCGCTCGCCCTCCACCAAGAAGCTGCAGGCGCGAGAAGATTCTCAGGTAACCTCCCTAGTGCCGTTGTAGCATCACACCCGCCCCGTAAACTCTGCCTCTGAGGACTGCAGAATCCTAAGCATGTGGTTAATCACTAGAATCAGTGAGGCCAAACAGCGACTCTCCCGACCGATTCATAAACCCGATATAGGTTCCCAGTTTTCTCAAAAACACTTCTACCAACAATATATTTTGCTTCCGACATTTTAACGGTCTCTTCCTCCTCTCATAGTTGATATTCCCCTCACCTGAAGTACTTGGCATAAACCGACATTGAATCCCTAGGTAATCGAGGGGAATTCCGTTCCTGCAAACTAAAAAGCTGTAGGTTTTGGAAGTTGCCCAGGAATCGCCGAGTCGCGGCCATGGCGCTGCGGCCGCGGTGCTGTTGTCGTCGCAGTCTCACGGTCAGGCGAATGTTATTTTTCCGAGCGTCCAAATGGCGATCGTCGGAGATGTAAAGCTTTCCACTCAGGGTAATCTTTCTCCATACTTTGATTAGCTCCCCTTTATTGCCATCAGTGTTATGTGATTATCTCGCCTGCTGGTCGATGACTCATTTGTGTTTATTAGTTCTTGAGAATACTTATAAATTTCACTCGTTAATAAACCTCATTTTGAAGGCTTGGATCTCGAGCGTGTCTGTTATAAATCCATGCGGTTTGTTTAGTTAAAGACATGGATTTTAGAAAAAAAAAAGTTTTGTTCATTTAATCGATTTCCCTTCTAACCTTGGTTATTTGAAGAGATGTTCATAACGCTTTACACTTAGAATAGTAAACCACGTGCGGGATGAGTGATCACCAGCAGATCAGGCGCAGATGCGGTCATAGTTGACTTTATCACGCATTTTTAGCAAAACGTGAGCTCACAAGGGAACATTTCCGGCTGTCAGGTACCGACAGGTGGAGGTTAGAAATAGCCAAAATGGAGAGCGTACGACCCACCTCCACCTCCTCTCCCTCCCCCCTTCTTTCCTTCTCCTCTTTATTCTTGTGCCTTTTACCTTCCCCCTTCCGGCATTCCCGTCGCGCTGCATACCCGCACAACAGACCTTGCTTGGCTTAGAAGGCTCTAAATGGCTCAGTCTTGAACCCCACACCCTCACCCCCACCATCACCCTCACCCCCACCTCCACCCTTACCCCCACCCTCACCCCCACCCCCACCCCCACCCCCACCCCCACCCTCACCCCCACCCTCACCCCCACCCTCACCCCCACTCTCACCTTTGGGGAAAACACTATCCTCATTTCTTCCTTCTATCATCTATGTCCTTTCTTGACCGATTATTATTTTTATCGTATTTTTAAAAGTTTTCCTTTTTTTATTTTCACATCCTAACTATTTTCCGATAGTTTGAGATTTGTGTACGATTATTTTTCTTTAGTTTTAGTTTCATGATATACGAATATTAATTTGCCGACCATATCCCCTATTCGTAAGCCGAACCCGCGCCCCTCATCCTCCTTTGTTCCTTACGTAAGCCGGTGGTGCCGCCCCGCAAAAAGGGCCGCGACGGCAGCTCCAGCATCGCCAGCAGCGTCTCCGTCAGCAGCCAAGGGAGCAATTGCAGCAGCAATGGTAGTGGCGAAGGCGGTGGCGAAGGCGTTGGCGAAGGGGGTTGCAGGAAAAGATGCAAGCAATGAGGCGGCGAGAGGGCGGCGTGGCGACGAGCTCCAGACGGCGTTGGCGATGTTTTGGTCTGAATGCTGTGAACGTTTCCCTCCCTCGGTGTTATGCCCTCTTGTTGTTATGGATTTCAGACTCTCAGCTCTCTCTCTCTCTCTCTCTGTCTCCGCAGGAACGCAATGTGTGTGCTTTTTTATTTATTTGCAATGATTTTTCTGCACGATGGAGGAAAGAAGCCGAGACGGCCAGTCTTTTGTGCATAGCGACCGTATGGCTGACTGGCTGTCCTGTGTGTGAGCACGCGAATAAATGTCTAATTAGTTTATTTGTATGTACGCCTCATGTATTTTCATCCCTGTAAATACCATTGAGATTCGTTTCTATAAAGCTCGCTTGAACGGGAAGAAATAAGCGCTGCATATTAAAGTATGAGCTTGCTTTTGCGCTAATGTGCAGCTTTTTGGCAGTTTTAATGTAAGGCTGCTGTTGTTTTGCTGATATTTTGTGAACAAAGCGTTTAACAACAAAGTGCTGATGCTTTAGTACTAACAGACACAATGTAATTATTGCTGCAATGCAGTATACAAAAAGAAAGCTCTGTCAGTGGTTTACACATGTATGTTAACTACTAAGAGATACTTAAATAGATGTGTTCATATATATACAGACAGTGAGCTTGCACACTCTCCATGGCATTCATATATGCTAACTTTACATTATTGTTCGAAGGCTCTCACTTTCCACGGACCTTGAAGCGCTAACTACCCGCCAGTCGGAAATCTCATGTAAAAATAGAAGAAAGTGCGGTGCGATTAAGAGGCGCGCGGAAGACACCAGGTGCGAATAATGCTTTCGGGCGAAGAGAACAGGTGCTTAAGTGTGATAATCATACGTGGCGGATCGGTTTTCGGAGATGAGATGCCAGCGATCGGTCTGCGGTCTGATGCGTCTCGGGGATTTATGATTTATAACTATTACTTCAAGTTGTGGCGAAGGGCGATAAAAAAAAAAAAAAAAAAAAAAAAACTGTGGCTTGAGCTGAATGAAAATGGTCTCGGTTTTGAGGGTAAGTTTTTACGAGCCTTGGAAAACACGGTTGTTTCTTAGATTAACGTTCATCTAATTCATGCTTTATTGTTGGCATGGTATAAGATAACGCATAAATCCTGTTATCGGTGCACAGTCATTGTGGTTGTGGGAAATGCCGTGTGGATGTGATTTTTTTCTTGTTTGTAAATATATTTTTTAAAAAGTATGATTTTTAAGTTGACAACAATATTGGTATTTTTTAGCTTGTTTTGGCGTGGGTTATATTATTTCAGTCCTGTCACGTTGGCAGTTTTGCCAATTAGAGACACGGCAACATCTGCCGTGATTAGCTATTGCCAGTTTATTGCATCGCGGGGGAAATGTGCAACAAGTTGAGAGGTGGGCAGCGGTCTAATTTTCATGCTCCTGAATTTGTAGACTCATGGCGGTTAATTGTGCTATAAAATCTTTTTTTTTTCTTATATTTGGCCTTATCCGGTTCACAGATACACCGACTTGATTATATGCTCTCGAGAAGGCACACTCAAGCGCACACGGACGTGGCCAAACACACGAACTGAGTGTGAATGTGTAATGTTGTTTATGTACGGACGCGTGTATGTGCAGACACGTCGACATATATATGCTCACGAAATATAGGCAGATATACATGTGTATATGAGCATGCGCGTGTCCGTATGCGTGCCTCTGTGTGTGTTTGACTTTGTGTATGTGTGTATGCCTCCATTATGCGTGTAAATATATGTATATGTAGACCCACGAGAACCCCCCCCCCCCCCACCATGTTTGTAATCCGACACACATCATCAGTGGGACTCTCTCCTTTTCGAAAAAAAATGAGGATGAAGAAAAGACAAGAGAAGCGAATGCAATCGCGTGCATAATCATAATTTTAACCGCTCTGCTTGGCTTATGCCTCCATAAACCCGAACATGAACAGCAAAGCCTGGGTTGCATTCGCTTTTGCCAGAGATTCATAACAGCGACTGCAGTGATTCGCCTCTTTTTGCCTCCTTCGCTCAACAGATCACCCTCTAATTCGGTGATTCTGCTTCTCAGTGCAAATGTAGATCCATTTTGTCGTTATAGATGTGCGCCATGTATCATATATTCACTAGATTAATGCTAATATAAATATAAGAAGCAGATTGAATATATAAATAGAATTGAGTGAAGTGCCTGCATCTATATCAGATCAACTGCTTTATTCTTGTCCTGACTCGGAGGTCTATCTTGGCCACGGCCATCTAATATTGTAGTGCGGCGTGAGGGCATGGGCGCTGCGTAGTAAAGCGGTATTTTGGGGCATGAGGCTCGACGATGCGCCCGCAGATAGTATGGCCGTCTGTGCAGCGGGTTGGGGCGTTAGGGTTGACGAACGACCCCAAGATACATCCATTTGTTAGCGTGCCATATCCTCCCGGCCTGGCGGAGGAGGCGGCAGAAGGGACAGTGACGTTCGTTAAGATATGCATCTCTCTGAAAGACCCTATGCTGTCGTATACAGTTCAGCTTAGTGCATAAGCTTGCGTATGTAGTATGCATTTGGGCACTGAACACTTATGTACTGTATGTAGTCATATAGTTGTGTGTGTGTGTGTGTGTGTGTGTGTGTGTGTGTGTGTGTGTGTGTGTGTGTGTGTGTGTGTGTGTGTGTGTGTGTGTGTGTGTGTGTGTGTGTGTGTGTGTGTCTGTCTGTCTGTCTGTCTGTCTGTGTATGCGCGCGCGCGCGCATTTTCTGTGAATGAGAACAGGAATAATTTAGTTAACAACTTGCGTACTAAAATAATCGCGTGGTTCTTTAGGAAAGAGGAAATTATATGAGAAATTAGGGTTAGAATTATCATCACACTTCACCTTGACAATCTCTTAAGGACACGACGTTAAAAAATGACGAGACATATTCTGCCGTGCTGAAGTTGGCACTGGCGCGCGAGTGTTGGCAAACGGCCTGTGAAGCAGAATGAGTGAGCAGCCTCGAGTTTTTGAAGGCTGCGACGCATGCTGTTTATGTTTTGTTTCTTTTGTCGCTTGTTTTACATGTGTATGATTGCTATGGATGTTAAATTTCCGTTTATGTTTGCTCGTTGCATTTTGAATGCTCGCCGTCTCTTGTCCAGTGGTTATACGTGATCTGCCATGATAATTTACGATTTTGATTTTTCATATAGTATACCCTCCTGTGTAACAGAGAACGTAACCTCTAATTCTTCCCGTTTTCTTCAACAGACTGTAACTCGGACTTCAGTGACGTCATCACAATCGTCCATCTGCGCCAATGAGGACGCCAGACATTCAGAGGAGGCGGAGCCTACTAAAGATGACGACAG